GTAAAATTAAAGATTTAATGTGCACTTTTGTTATGTAAATTAGGTACATTTTGATTAATAACTTTTTTGAATGTAAATATATTAAGTAACCCTTATCACATAATGATAAAGGACCAAAATGCCTATTTTGTAGTGTATAGCATGTTAGTGTAAAAATTAGCATTATATAGAAAAATTGCAATTTGTGCAAATTACGTAATGAAAATGTTTGATAATAAAAAGGCAAAACCGGAAATTGGCAAGCGGCTCTCTATAGAGTATAGCCGAAGTCTACCTTATGGGGGCAAATCACAGTAACATGGTAGTAGGAAGAACTACCAGTAACAAGCAGTAGTATCCGGTAGTAGCTGAAGTGACTAGTAGCAGAACACAGTGAAAAGTTAAAGTGAAATAGAAAAAGTTTAGCTAGCCGAAAAAGGTCGTAACTGAAAAATCGCAGTTACACATAGTCGGAAAAAGTGGCAACTGAAAATTCTCAGTTGCATATAGTAAAATAGTGTCAGCTAGCCAAAAATAGTGGTAACTGATATTCGCAGTTACATATAGTGAAAAAGTGTTGGCTAGCTGAAAAAAGTGGTAACGGAAATTTCGCCGTTACATATAGTGAAAAGTGTTAGCTAGACGGAAAAAGTGGTAACTGATATTCGCAGTTACAAAAGTGTTAAATTCAACTAAATTTAGTTGATTAATAGCTGCTAGTCAGTAGTGTTAGAAAACCAGCTGCTACCAATAGAAATTTTGGATACTACCAATAGAAATTTGTTACTTTCAATAGATATTTAAAATTACCAATAGAAATAGTAGAGAATACCAATAGAAACTTGTTACTGCCAATAGAAATTTGATATTACCAACAGATATTTTGAAAATACGAATAGAAATTTAAAAAAAAACCAATAGAAATTTTAATTACTGTGTGTTTAATTAAATCTGTGTTTTAAAATATATAGTGAACAATCATAGTTGAAAAACAGTGTTAAATAAATAAATAAGTTATAATATTTCGCGACTAATTAATCAGTCGAACCGCTGGCCACTCCCTTGCTATTTTAATTTATAAATCGTGCATTTTTAATTCTGAACCTCAGTCCACAGTTCTCCAACAGCATACACAAAGGCGGTAGTGAAAGTATCCATCTGAACCTATAGGTATAGGACGTGAGCGGCTCGCGGAGTATCTTCGACAACATTTACTCCGGAGAGTTACGCCCGTCCGGCACAGTTTTCATAAAAGTATTGAGAGACCAAAGTTCATATATTAATTTCCTTAATTTTTGTCTGAGCGACTCTTTAGGTCTTCAATCATAGATTGCTCTTATGGCCCTCTTCTGTAAAACAAAAATTAAGTTTCAGTGTCAGTCGCTGTCTCCATAGAAAAAATACTCTCTAGATGTCTCAACACTGGTAAGATTACTAATAATTTTTACAGTATGTCTACTCAACCGTCCATGGTGACTACAGTTTCCAAAAAAATTATTGCCTCACTTGTCCATGGCGACTATAGTCACCAAACGACATCTTTCGGTTTAAACGTGTACAGCGCAAAATGTGAGAAATTCAATCAAAAATGTGATAACTTTTCTGTTTTTATACGTTATTTCTAATGTTATTATATATCAAACTAATTTTGAAGATAATTTCTTTAAGAAAAATGTTTCATTACGAAAATTCAAAAACGTTTACATATAAATTTAGCTCGAAATTTAAATCACTATACGCGATATTCGTTTATTGATTATATGTTTTTAAAATGTATTGTAATGTGTTTTTTGTGTCAAATGAATGCTAAATATAAAAGAATGTTTCACTATTGACACGTTGATAGCCATTTATAAACGAAATATCTGTTGAGATGTGTCTAGAAATGATTAAAACTTATTTTTATTTATTTATTTACTTATTTATTCAAATTTATATTGGGAAAAAATTTTATACGTATGTATATTGAGTATTTAAGATATTATTGATATTGGTGTCGGGGAAAGGGATTATCATGTACTATTATAATATAAAACATTTTTAAGCTTCATTTTCAGCCTTTATTTTTAATTTTACTAATTTTCTTTAACAGAATTAAATTTTGAATTCTTTGAGTCTATTGAGAATATTTTTTATTTAAATGTAGCTATGGTAGTTTTTCAGTAGTTATCGTTTTTGTTGCGATAGTCCCGCGCGGTGCTAAAAAAAATGACATTTAATGCGCGGACAGATGAGGCGAGAATCACTCGCGCGGGGTGGATGATTATGTTGATATGCTACAGAACTAAGTCTGCTTTGCCACTTTTGATATTTTGGGGCCCCATTGAAGCTTGTAAATTTTACCTAAAGTCCGTTTTAAGATTTAAATAAGCCAGGTGTGTCACGGGATTTATAAAATGTTCCTGTATAGAACGTGAAATATTATCAAGATCTTTATAGACAATAAGAAGATCACCACTCAGTAATAGCCGTTGAAAAGTACATTTATAAAATATATTATGATTTAAAATTTGAGCAGTATTTTCTTTGAGTAATGAATACAAATAAGTTTAGTGATATTAAAAAAAAAAACGTTTATTAAATTAATAGAAATAAATATGTAAATAAAAACGAGTATATCAATAACGAATGCAACGGGATTATGTCACTACCTACAAAATGGCAACAAGTTATTGAACAAAATGGCACATTTATATTATAATGAAAATTATGTAATTAAACTTTGCAAAAAAAATTGTATTTAAAATACGATGGAACTTTTTTCCCGACCTAATAATACTAGTACTACTACAATAGGGATACCATTTTTCTATTAAATCAGAAGAGTGTACTTACTCTCATAATTAGCATAGTATAAGGAGACCAACGATGACCACTTGACATTTCCACGCATGAATTACACACAACATCTTTCAATAGATTTGTCTCTTTTTGCCTCATTTGAAAATAAAATTAGGAAAAGTGGGACATGTATATTGACTCGATTTATGTAAAATTGTAAGTTTTCTCTATGTATATGTATGTATGTTATTACTCTAAGACACAATAATAGGTCAGAGTGTGTTTTGATAATACATAGTTTAGCGCTAAAAAGAACCCCTTTGTTGTATTTCCTCAGTTTCAAGGCACTCCCCTTGTTGCCTCAGCCAGTATCGGAATCCTCGGTGTCGACATATCGAGTGACGTGTAGTTTCGTGGTCACTTGGAAGAGAAGGTCAAATTGGTCTCTAAAAAGCTTGGCGTGCTCAGCAGAGTGGGACAGTATTTCATGCCGGCACACTGCTTGCAACTTTACAAGGCTTAGGTTCGGCTTCACGTGGATACTATTCCCATCTCTGAGTAGGGACTCCTCAGTGCCAGCTCCTTCCACTTGACCGCATCCAGCGCGGAGCGGTTCGAATCGTCGACGAACGAGTTCTTTTCGATCAGTTTGACTCACTGGCACTGCGTAGAGCTGTTGCATCTCTTTGCGTATTTTATCACATCTATCACGGGAAGTGCTCTGAGGAATAGTTCAGACTAATTCCAGCCGCTCAATTTCACCATCGCACATCGCGACAAAACTCGCGATACCATCCATACTATCTGGATTATTAGCGGTCCTCACTGTGCGATTTAGAAGAAGTTTTCTTCGTCGCACAGCTTCCTTGTGGAATTGATTACCACCAGCGATTTTTCTGGACCGATACGACTTAGGGACCTTCAAGAAAAGAGCCTACTCCTTTTTAAAAGGCCGGCAACGCATCTGCAATTCCCCTGGCGATGCACTTGTTCATAGGTTGCGGTAGTCACTTACCATCAGGAGAGCCGCATGCTCGTTTGCCCCCTCTCCTATAAAAAAAATAGTTATGTTCACTGAACATAATTACTCTCTACCAAGTTTATGCTTATCTATGATTACAATCGTTAGCAATCATAAGTTTCATCTAAGATAGTAGTCTAATTGACTAGCAATATCTATCACCTCATGATATTTTGTTTTATATAAACGATAGTTAAATATAAGTCATACTTACATCAAAGTGATCTTCACAGAAGTATACTCCAGTTTTTCTAGACAATGTCTTCGGGTCTCTTCTCGCCAGTTTTAACGAATTATTTCTCATATATAGTCATATTTAGTGTGGCCGTATCTTCTGGCACTTGAATCCATAACATCTCCGGCGTTCTTATGATCTACGCATAAATTACGCGCAACATCTTTCAACAAGTTTCTATTTTTGCCTTATTTGAAAATTAAATTTAAAAAAAAACGAGACAAGTATATTATGTAGAATTGTAGGTTCCCTCTATGGATACAAATGTATTTAATTACTCTTGGCTAGTGGCACAATAATTGTGGTGTATATGAAAGGTTAAAAGCTTAAAAGGCAACGTTGTAAAAGAAAGAAAGTGAGAATAAAATATCCATGTTATTTTGTACCACTTAAAATGTCATGATATGCTTAAAGGGCTTTTTTCATAATTTATAATTCCCTCTTTACTAGTAATTACTCTAGGGACCCGACTCACGTATAGACAAAATTATGTTTGTGTGCACATTTCTCAGCTGGTATACAAAGATGGATTACTCTAGCTCTAGCCTCCTGCTTACCGACCACGGAAGTATAGACAACGAAGTACATATAATTCCATGTTACCGACATTTACCTTATTCTTGCATGACGTTATCAAGAATCAAGAATCTATAAATGAAAAAATAAAAAACAAGAATTTATGGTTGTACTGTACAGAACCAAAACTGAACTTTTAATACTATGTAATTTCTAATACTAGTCTGGCATGGCTTTTATCACTTGATGAAATATTTTAGGAGCAAAACCTTTTATCATTTATGAAATATTTTAAGACAAAAAAAAGACAATTGAACGGGCTTTATGATCTATGATCTTTGGCTGTTCTAGTTGTTGAATTGTAACAACTACAACGCGGTCTGTGGATATGGAACTTATCAAGCTGTCAAAATAAATCGTGTCTTAGAATAAATAAATTTCTAATTTGTATATTGTGGACATAATAAAATGATTAAGTTATTTTCGCTTAAACAACAAAAAAAAGATGAAGAAGGCTCGGCACGAGCTGGTGGTTCACAAAAAAAGGCATCAGCAGCTCAGTTGCGAATTACAAAGGGTAAGAAGTACTATGCAAAATTATTTTTATTCGAAAAATGTACAGTTTATTTGAAAAGAATATTTTCATGTTAATATCATATTATGCAATAATTTTTAAGGGTGTGATAATATCTAATAATATAATTTTGAATTATTTTAGATTTAAATGAATTAAATCTACCTAAGACATGTAGTACAGAATTTCCAGATCCAGATGATTTGCTTAATTTTAAGCTTATAATATGTCCTGATGAAGGTTTCTATAGAGGAGGAAGATTTGTATTTAGTTTTAAGGTAAGCATGAATTAGACAAGTTTACTTTAATCTTTACTTCTTAATATTTTACCTTATTATACCTTGATAAATTGTTGTGTCATGTTAGCTCAAACAACATGCCAATGAATTTAATGCAACTTAAAGGCCTAATTATTTACATGCTTGATAGTGAAGGAAAATATTTTAAACCTGCATATGAGGAATATAATGTATCAAGTAAAATCTGCCAAAATGCCCTGGAGCTCAGTATATAAATTACACCTGACCCTCTTAAAATGAGAAGAGGACTGTGTACAACAGTAAGATGTATATAAGCTGTTGCTCTAAATATTATATTGTTAAGTCAATTAAACAATACATCTATTCTTCTTCCTTAACATGTGATGTTTTTAACTCAACGTTTACACCTAAAACATATTGTAAATATAATTGTATACAAAACTTGCAGAAAATTGTCAAAAATATTTTCCTGTTTGTAATTTGTTTATAACATGTCTTTTTATTGTTAAGTCAATTAAACAATACATCTATTCTTCTTCCTTAACATGTGATGTTTTTAACTCAACGTTTACACCTAAAACATATTGTAAATATAATTGTATACAAAACTTGCAGTAAATTGTCAAAAATATTTTCCTGTTTGTAATTTGTTTATAACATGTCTTTTGTTGTTTTACTTCTTTTCTACTTGTATTGTAGTGAAATGTATTTCCTATGTGCACAGATGCAGTAACATGCCCCTGATAGATTTACAACAATAGCCTCTAAATAATTTAGATATATATTTTTATATATAAAATGTATAATGTCACATTGCCCACAATGAACTCCTAAGCTACTGAATTGATTCTAATGAACTTTTGAAGAAAGAGTTGTAGGAACAGGCAGACTGATATGACCATATATGTTGTGTATATCTATTTATATAAATTATATAGTAAGTGGTGGTCCAACCAAAACGCATGATGTTAACTGTAGTAAAACAAAAGCTTTTCAGAGATTTATCTTAATATTTTTTATTATGATAGAAGGATCTATGACAATAATGGGTGAAGCAAAATATCGGCCAAATGCTTGCCATGGCTTCGGTGGCATACTTCTATCTCATGGTCCATATTTTCAATGACTCTGAGACATAATTGAGGTTTAATGATGCTAATGTGCCGAATTATTTCATCCTTTAGCTCTTAAATTGTTCTTGGCTTATTGACGTACCACTTTTTCTTTTAAATATCCCCAAGGAAAGAAGTTTAATGGTGTGAAATCACATGATTGTGGTGGCCAATCAACATTGCCATCGAGATAACACTTCCATTGAATTTCTCACGCAAAAGAGCCATTGTTTCGTTGGCTGTGTGGCAAGTGGCACTATCCTGTTGGAACCACATATTGTCCAGGTTCATATCCTCGATTTTTGGCCACAATAAGTCCGTTATCTTCTCGCGATAGCGAACATCATTCACGATAACAGCTTGGCTGACCTTATTTTCGAAGAAGTACGGCCCGATCACGTCGCCAGCTCATAAACCGCACCAAATTCACTCTTTGTGGATGCATCGGCTTTTCAACAAAAACTCGTGGATTCTCATTTGCCCAGATGCGGCAATTCAGGTTTCAGCTCTTGTGTCAATTGAACCTTGTAAGCATGTAAATTCAAATCTTTATTCAAAATTTGCATAAGTGACGTTAGTGAGATGTTCAATTGTTGGGCACGACGACGAGTTGAGGTTGACGGCTCTTCTACCACACTATTGTGAACAACAGCAATGTTTTCTGTAGAACAAACTGGGCGATCACGCACAGGTGTTTTCACATTTCCTACAGACCCGGTTTGCTGAAATTTGCGCACAGTTTTCACGATTGTAGACACATTTGTTCGATTATGCTCACCAAAAAAAACACAAAGTGCCCAAAATGCATTTTGATTTGAACGCCCATTTTAATAAAAGGCTTTAACAATCTTAACGTGCTGCTCAATTGTGTACCTCTCCATGGTTGAATTTGTCAAACACTGAAACAAAGAGATGTCAGATTAAATTAGGCAAAAACTTGATGTTAAGGTGTGAGTTACAATTAACATTGTGCATCATGGTCAGACCAACCTGTATATATAAAATTATGTATAAAAAATTAATAGCAATATAACCTACATATAAAATAATTATTGTATGTTCTCTAATTATTCTGAACCAGTAAGAGGTAAATCTTCTTTAGTTTGTTTAAGCTATATTTTCTTTTGTACAGGTAGGTCCCAACTACCCACATGAGCCACCCAAGGTCAAATGTGAAACAGCAGTCTACCATCCTAATATTGATTTAGAAGGCAATGTGTGCCTTAATATACTTAGAGAAGACTGGAAACCAGTTCTTACAGTAAATTCTATAGTGTATGGACTACAGTATTTATTCCTGGTGAGTAATAATAAATAATAATTTTTTTGTTGTTTATAGTAAATTTTTCCGATACCTAATTTATTAGATATACAACTTTGATTTATGTCCCAGCCACATTATTACATACAATCTTGCATAACTGTCATCACCTCAAGATAAGTGGTAATATAGCCCTGACTTGTAAGTACACTTATATAACTTAGGAAAAGGTAAAAATAGCAAAATCGTTTTACTGACCTCAAAAATACTATATAAAATAAAAGAAAATGCAGTTTATATAATAACCTCTTTCATTTTTAATTTTAGTTAAAAATAAGTTAAACGAAAATATCTTGCTGTTAAATTTAATAAATTAAAATTAAGTAATATTTTAATCTATTAAAAGTACATAACATTTTTTTTAATTTTAGTATTAGAATCAAAAACGATAAGGTAATGCCAAACATATTTTTAGTTGATTTGGTTTATTCATTTGTTACCATTGTCACACATTTTTAGCAATCTGGAAATAAAGATCCTTTTTTCTTTTTGTTAAATACAGCTACATTTTTTTTAATATGTAATTGACACCTTTATGAGTTACTTTGACTTAAAAAACCTAGTTTTGATGGTAAAGTTCTTTTGGTTAATTTCAACGACTTCTGATAACTGTTAAACAGAGGCACTCACTTGTACAACCTATTGGTACCTGAAGTAATGCTTATACAATAACTTCAGAGGGCTGGGTTGTTTTTTATTATTATTATTCTTTTTTTTAAAAACGTCACCCCCACACTAGGTTTCTCCTGTGTCGTGGAGGCAGTTTACAAACATAATTTGCACAAGGACAAACATTCAGACCCGGAACAATTATTTGATGGCCATACAAATACTTGTTCCGTGCGGGATTCGAACCCGCGGCCCCCAGCGCAACAACTGATTGTTAAGCCACTGCGCCACAGTTAAGATGTGGTATTATAAATAACAGAGTAATCCCAAACCTGAAAAATAATCATTTGTGTTTTTACATAAATGTCGACTCTGGCTAGGATTGCAACCTAGGACAGGCTAATTTATAGTCATGTCTAACCACTTAGCCGCATAGTCGTCTTAACTAAATTAAAATTCTATTGTTAAGTCTTTAGATCGGAAATTGGCTTTTTGCATAGAATTAAGCGTGATAAAATGAGCAAATAGTCCAAATATGGGATGTGAATGCTGTGGCCTATAACTTTTATGTCTATCCTTGCAAAATGAAGTTGCCTGCTCCATTGAATGTCCCATTGCCAGTAAAAAGGGGTATCCGCTTTTCTACACTCACTAAATAAAACAGCAGCATTAAGGTGATATTTTACACTAGTATTTTGTGACATCGTGATCCTACGCCGGTCGAGCCGACCCATATCTGTTGAAGTCATAACACAGTTGCAGCTGGGCTCTACCACTTTCTTAAGATGGTCCAATAATCATAAAACTCCAGCATATAACGCTGCTGCGTTTGGTACCGCATTTTTTTATGAACACGGACGCAGCACGACTTCGCGACGTGCGAATTTAGTAATTTATGTGCAGATATGCAGGCTTTTACATGCACGTTTACGGCACGGTCGATGATTACGGTACTTATCCGCTGAAAACTGTTCTAACGCGGTCACCATCCTTACAATAATGTATAGGCTAGTGTCGACGCGGTCACCTGACGTGCACAACGCAGTTCTCGGGGGTAACTTACAGTATTGCCTGGAGTGTAGTCAAATTTCAGAATTGACTGAAATGTTAAATATGTAAATACGAGATCCATCTTTTGATGAAGATTATGCTTTTGTCGTTTAAATATAGACATCGGAAAAGCTATACCATCAAACAGGACTAAAAACGTTCACTGCTCAAGTAAATAACAGAGCTCATAATTTGTGCCGTTAGGTTCTTTTCACATATATACGCTTTCCGTATAATTAGAGACCGTATACCTACACGGGCATATATTTCTCACAATACACGGTTTTTGCTGCGCCCGTGCGTTCAGTTGAATATAAGTTTTCAGTATTCACAAAAAGGTTATGCTATTGAAAGAAAATCTTTTTACGTGGTAGAGCCATGCTGCAGCTATATTAGTATTGTAGTTGTAGCACGAATGGCCCGACCGGGGAAGGACCACGCTCTCACAGAATACCAGGGTAAAATAGCAGCTCAACGCTGCTGTGTTTCGTATGGTAAGTGTAGAGAACCGGAGACCCTTTTTACTGGAAACGAGGCATTCCATCTTCGTCCTCACGGTTGACAACGCACATGCATTTTGAAGCAATACACCTACTTCTACTATTAGTATTACTCAAGACCATACGTATTTATGGTGCGCGAAATTATCACTGTGCTGTTCCGTGCCTGCCGTGCAGGATACGCGATGCCGTGGAGTTACACGGCTGCGGCACGTCGTGGTTTCGTGTGAAAGCTTATGAAGTAATTCCTATATTACTAAACCGTCATACATCCATTCGTACATTACAGCCTATAAATGTCCACTGTTGAACAAAGGCCTCCCTCATAGATTGTGTCATAGGGGATTTTGCAATAGTTGCCACGCTTGGGAGGCGGGCTGGCACACGCAGTTTTTTTATTATTTTGGAGTTATTATCAGGATGATGCTGCTGCACATCTCCTGTTTCAGTTTCCCTCCGTCGCCTCTTACGATACTCACGGGATGATAAACGTGAAAAGGATACTTTGAAAATACTTGCACAACCGGGCGCCACGCCGTTTAGACGGTATCCATGCCATATCCGTATCCATGTGAAAAGGCCCTAAATAATGTGAATCGGATAGCCATTACTGACAACGAAGCATTTCGTCTTAAACTTAATGGATAACAAAGCACCTACAGTTAAAATGTGTATTTGTTTGTCAACCATAATATAATAATTACTTTTACATGACTGCGTATAGTAGTATAGTGCATAATAGATAAATAGAGTAAAATATATTTTTGTACACAATTTTGAACCTCCTATAGTGGAAATATTTTTTAAGGAACCAAACCCAGAAGATCCCCTAAATAAAGAAGCAGCAGACGAACTCCAAAGCAACCGAAGACTGTTCGAACAACACGTACAACGAGCTATGCGAGGCGGCTACGTCGGTTCCTCATACTTTGAACGGTGCCTCAAGTGAACAACGCTCACGATCGATTGTAAATTAATGTTCCCAGCTCTATATAAATAAATAAATAAACAATCTCACTTTATATTTGTAACTTAATTGTAAATTTATTTTTTTACAACACCTAAAAACAACTTCGGCAATTTTTATTTTGATGGCGAGATTTTTTTACATGAAATTTAGAAAATAATGTTTTCCCTTTTATAGGATAATAAAAATTAGTTCAATATATGCTCATTCTTTATTTATAATATATTTCACTTATAAGTGAAGATATAATCACATGAACTATTTGAATCATGCAATATGCGAAAAGGCGGGGAGCATGAAAACAGTTCTCGATTAGAAAAAAAAAACCTTAATTTCGAAGCCAATGAATCTTGTTGAAATATCATATGGTTCCTAATTAAGATAAGAAAATTCGCTGTAAAAATGAAGAGAAGCGACTGGAGGCTACTCTCACCATGTATAAAGTACTAAAAACTTGTCCCGGCACATGCCTGTTCATAAAAGATATACTGCACCTACATTAGTTCATGTTATCGATACTACTATTTGAGAATATTACATGTTATACTATTATTACTATTACATACTGAACAAAGCTAGTTTTACGGATTTCATTGCATTTAATTTTAACATATTTCAAACCACGGTAGGTATTCCGTGTTGAAGACATCTGTGACACAGAGACCACAAACACCAAAGTCATTCCAGTGTTTGGTCTTCTGCAGCACAATTTTTTTTTTATAAATTATTTTTTACATTTAAGAAATCGTTAAGGTTAATTTTATTGTCATGTCATTTTTAAATTTATGTAGTTTATTATTTTTATATTTGTGTTGTGTATTTAGTCTTCGAATAAATGTGTTTTCTTTATTTCTTTATTTCTGAGCACGGAAGATTAAAAATCGTACACCGCTTCAAAACACCACCAATAATGATTTCTTGAGCCGCGTCTCCACCAAAGTTTTGTTACCAAACGTTTTGGTAACAAATGTTTCTGTAATTACCTAGTGTTGGCAACAAAACTTGAAACAATGTCGGGAACCGTGTTTCCATTTTCGGCGGATTTCGGTCATTCGCAATGACTCTTGCATTTTATTCGGCTAAAGCATATAAATATGTTAGGAGAACTTTTGACACGTGTCTGCCTTCATTGCGAACATTATCGAAGTGGTATCAAACTATAGAAGGGAAGCCAGGATTTACAAAAGCATCACTCATAGCGTTAAAGCACAGAGCTGAAATGAATTCCACTGATTTCATTGCTACACTTGTGTTTGATGAAATCAAGATTAAAAGTAAAGTCGAATTTGTCCCATCCAATCAACGCATCTTTGGATATGTCGATATTACATTTTTGCCCTTGCATAAAATATCACAGGACCACATTGAACTTCTTTTTGCCGGAATACGATCACACGGTGGTTCGAATGATAATCCGACTCCACGTTTGTTCGAGGCGATATATAAAAAAATTTTGATCCACACAGAATTAATGGAAACATCCACGGGTAATTGTATACCACTAGAAAAAATATCAATTTTAAACTGCTCATCTGCGATAGCTAAAATAAATATGACTACGCCAAATCAGGCAGAAAAAAATGATGATGATTTCGGAGTTCCTAAAAGTCAAGAAGACATTGAGAAAGCCCTCGAGTCTGTCGAGCTCTCACAGTTTTCGGAACATGTGATAGAATATGTTGCTGGCTACGTTAGTAGTGCATTAATTAAAAAAATCAGATGCAATACCTGTATAAAAGCTTTAGTGTCATTAGACGAAAATAAAAAGGGTCTCATATTCTACAAAGATAACGGAGGATTAATATATCCGTCACTCATGGTTGTTAAAATATGTCGGCGTTGCGAGTCCGTAATCAGGAAAGATGTTATCAGTAGTGACTCTAAAGGAAAAATCACCGCTGAACGGTTGACCCATAAAGCTCTTAGTAGCTTTACAGAAGAACAATTATTCCCGGAATACACATATCATCAATTTTATGCCGAAGAAACCAATCATATTATTGATTTAACGAGAAGTGTAATGAAGAAATATATTGATATGAGGATGACATTTATATTTAAAAATCAAAAATTAGAAGAAAAACGTGCAGTTAGGAGAATATATACAAAATTAATTCATTTTAAAAATCAATAATAGCGCTTAGTAAAATAAATAAATGTGAAAATCTTATTTATGCCCATTTCAATCTACCCGTACTGCCTCGTAGTGCCTCGACCTCGAGCCGAACTATCTTGCGTATCTCCTACGGGGCTTTTTTTATGTTAAGGTTTGACAAATCACTAAAAGTTTATTTTAAACTCGTTTAGTTTATGCTTGAATTTTTTTCAAAGTTGGCATTTATATTTTACCTGAGTATTCTTCTTGAAGATGATAGTACATTTAAAATTGCATGTATCAATTGCACAGGAAAATTGAAGTCACAGTCAAAATCTAGTTACTGATAATGAAAACATGTATTAAAAATACGAAAAAACTTATCGATATCAATAGAAAGCATAAAGTCATTACAACGCACGCCCTAGCGATCGCGTTCAGAATCTCTTCGGTATACTTCGGAGTATTTCGGAGCAATCACAACTCCCCCCGAACCGTAGCTAGTTGACAAAATTGTTTTCTTTTAAATTTCGCATGTATTACTCCTCTATATGGTTAAATGCTCGTAGGTTATGATCGTCAGATTTTTACAATGAATCTCTCGACGTGTCCCGTTCGACACCGCCCGAATGGAATGCGAGCGGGCGGGGGGCGGTGTGACCTTGCTACGGTGCTATGCGCTTCGAACGTGCGTTAAGAAATCAATTTTCAAATGGTTAATATTTTGCCTAAACAAACCCCTGCCCCGGACATAATGAATTATGTCCGCGAGTAGATTGGTAAACGGGACAAGGTCGCGACGGCACGTTGCAAGACCGAATCTCTGACCAAAACCTCGGTCACCCTAGGCACCCCATCCGATCCATGCGACAACTTAACAATGCGCCTACGGCGCCAATACAAAGGCAGAGCATTGGGTTCTTTAACCAACACGAGGTCTCCAACCCGAGGAGGATCCTTCTTGTCAGACCAGTACTCCAGAGAGCATCGGTGCCAAAAACTCTGAGTCATCTGTTGCAGCAGGTCAAACCTGCTCAACCGCGAAGAGTTTGTTTCCCTGAAGGGGTACTCGGGCAGGGCGTTAAGCGGCTGGCAAATCAGGAAGTGTCCCGGGGTTAGAACCTCCAAATCATTCGGATCGGACGAGAGGGGACAGAGGGGCCGAGAGTTGAGTACCGCCTCAATTATACAGAATACAGTGGCGAGCTCCTCAAATTTCAAAATAGTTTCGCCAATAACGCGACGGAGATGCGTTTTTGCAACCTTAACCACCGCCTCAAAAATACCGCCCCAGTGGGGACAAGCCGGAGGGTCGAATTCCACTGGATGCCCTTCTTGGACATCGCATTACCTAAATAAGTCCTGTTGCCGGACAGAAATTCGACGACCTCTTTCAAATATCTATCCGTGCCTTTATAATTCGTTCCGCAATCAGACCGGATCAGGTCCGGCAAACCGCGCCGCGATACGAAACGGCCCAGCTTGGCCAAGAAGGCTTCCGTGCTGAGGGCACTTAAAATTTCTAAGTGAACGGCCTTAGTGGAGAGGCACACGAAGACGCAAAGATAGGCCTTATGTGAACGCGCGTTACGAAAGTTAGAGGACTTGACGAGGAAGGGGCCAGCAAAGTCGGTTCCGACTCCAGCGAATGGTCGGATGGCCCTGACGTGGTCGGGTGGCAAGTCACCCATCATAGGTTGCGATATGGTGGCCTTCAGTTTATAACAAGATATGCACTTAAAGATGACGCTCCGAATGGTGCGTCGGCCAGCCAAAATTCTAAACTCCCGCTGCTGAATAGCCGAAAGAGCGTTACACCCAGCGTGGTCGTTCTTAATATGATAGTGGGTTACCAGCAACCGGAGAAAGGCGCCGTCCTTGGGGGGCAGTAACGGGTGTCGACACCCGTACGGCAGTTGGGAATTTCTCAAACATCCACCAATGCGCAGCATCCCAGCGTCGTCCAGGAAGAGGTTCAGACGGGCCAGACCGCCCGTTCAAGTTTTCAATCACGGGCTCAAAATGCTCCGCTTGGACCATACGGGTCCAATGCATCAAAGCTTCACGACGCTCGCTAGGGGACAAAACGAAATCAGAGATTCGGTGGGACGGATCTCTTGAATTGCGGACAAATCGGCGCAACTAAGCAGTCACTCCTAAGAGCTTATCGAGTGAGCTGTACCGTTCTAGAAGAGAGAGATCCCGAGTGGGCTTATCCTTGCCCACTCCTACTCGGGCTCGTTGGTCAGGCAATTCAATCGATTCGGAGTAATTACCCTGGGGCCAGAATGACTGACACTCAGTCAACCAACTGGGACCCCACCACAGCGGGTGGTTAACCAACGAGGGGGCTTCACAGCCGCGAGAAGCGCAGTCTGCGGGATTCAACTTCGCTGGGATATGTCTCCAGTTTAGAGAAGTCGAAAGGAATGCGAGCGGGCGGGGGGCGGTGTGACCTTGCTACGGTGCTATGCGCTTCGAACGTGCGTTAAGAAATCAATTTTCAAATGGTTAATATTTTGCCGAAACAGCGTTTATTTTAGCTTTTTAAACAACAAAGCAAAGTAACTGCTTACTTAAACCGTCGTCACTCTACAATTCACAATAGATTTAGAGGCAAATAATTCTTTAGCTTTTATAGCATTATAGACGTTACATTCATTTAAAATTGTAATAACATCATTAATCGTTTTGTGTATAAAAACGAACCCATACTAACCGATATTTAAACGGTGCATCTCAAATCAAATCCATCACTGTTAGCGGCTACCTTGGGAAAATCCATGTTTCAGCGAGTACAAGGAACCTGTGACAATAAAACACCTGACCGCCGGCCTCGTGTCCCGTGCCTACGAGTGGCGGCTGTTTAGTCCGCGGCCTAAAGTAC